AGGCCCTTCCCCACCCACTATCTAGATAGAAAACATCTTGTCTAGTGGGCACTATCAAGGTTTAACTACATTTGAAATACAGATACATAGTCAATATTCATAACTTTAGATACAAAAATGATACATGCATACAAATAGGATAATCATATTAGCAAATCATAACTTTTCCAATGACATCTCACATGACCTGTCTTGCTTAAAATACATTATAATTATGTCATATTCATGTCATAGCAATATCACTGCAAAGCATATGGGGTGCAGTGTGACAGTGGGACCTCCTATCACCCCAGGAGGGTGGGGAACCCTGGTGGGTCAGTGTGTATTCCACCTTGGCCCCACGGCCCGATGGATATATTTGTTGGTGGACCCTTCATGGAGCCGTGAACATGGGTGTGTATCTGGTGCAGTTTACAACTATCCCCCAAACCTGCTTGTTTTGCAGTTAAGGAGACCCTGGTGAACATTTATATTGAGTGCCCCTGTTCACAGCCCCTCTTCTGGCTACCCCACACCTCATGATTTATGCACCCCATCCTTGGCTCCAAAAAGTCGTCAGACCTCCTTGTCAATCTCTGCTTGGCGCTGGCCAAGATGGCCATTCACCAGGAAGCTGGACAGAAGAAGGTGTTTTTCTTCTGTGAGGCTTATTTCCAAACATCCCTCAAGTCACGTCTCAGGGCAGAGTTCCTCTGGGCAGTGTCCACTGCTTCCCTGGATGCCTTTGAGGAGCAGTGGGTGCTGACTGGGGTTCTCCACTCAGTGTCCTCCTCTGGATCCCTGATTTTATATCTTTGACCCTCACTCTTATCCCTGATTTTCATTTGTTGTCCCCTGAAATTATTTGATGCCTGGGTACATTAAATTACCCCCTTTGGCTGAGGGGAGGGGCCGTTAGATGTGGGCAGGCTTACACCCACCCATCCACAGTGCTTCAGTAGGTGCCCTGACTCACCCCTCCTACAGAGTCACTGCAGTGACCCAGCCCTTAGGCATGCTGCAGCAGCCTATCCCTAAGCAGGGCATGGGTCAGATGAGCCCCAGACTCAGGTATTTCACTGACCCTGCCAGAGCTGCAAATTAGTCTGTGCAAAAGCCCTACCTGGCCAGGAACCTCCTGATGCCTCACCGTGTCTCAGACTTTTTAAGCTTCCAGCCTGCCCTTGATCTTATTACTGTTCCTGTCCTAGCCTTGCCTGAGCATCCTTCCAGCTCACTCCAGGCTTGTCTGCGCCTTACTCTGACCTTTTGCTCCAGCCTTGTTATTGACCTGCTCCAGCCCTGCTTCTGCCTCCTGACCTCCAGACACTGGGACTGACTCCAACCTGGCTTCAACCCTTGGCCTGCATCTAGACTCCAAATCCGACACTGATTTGGCTTGTCTATGGACTCTGATATCAGTTCTGACCCACAGCCTGTCCCCAGACTCTGGTTTCAGTGCTGCCTTTGGCCCAGTGCCAACCTTACAACCAGCTTCGACCACCACTCCAACCAACAGACCTGACTGCCTGCAACCAGAGTCTAACAATCAACACTAGATCCCTGGGAGGATTGCAGGCTGTCAAATGTCAGTGCCCACCCCAAGCTCCCATTACCAGTTACAGCAATGATCTCACTGGGCTGGAATGGCATAAAAACGGAAATATCACATGCCTCTGAGCTCTTGGAGCATAAATGTGGGATGCCCACAATAGGACCTGAATGGAAACTGGGCACTGTGAGTCAGTGTGTCAGTCCAACTGTGCCTCACCTGGCTAAGCAGGGTGTGGTGCCGGTGCCCTCAGCTCAGTGGGGCTGTCAGTCTGTTGCTGATGCTCAGGAATCTGAAAAACACTCTCTGATCTCAGGTCTGTCAGGGGGTTGGTAGGGGAACCCAGGCCCACCCACTCCACTGGGTCGCAGCTCAGGGCCCTCAAGTTAGACAAGCAGGATCAGGGTTCGCTGACTCTAACAGTGCCCTGAGTTCCTTCCTACCCTCCCCCAGGCCATATGCTTTCTCACTGGGGAGAAACTTGCAGCTCAAATATAATACTGGGTGTTCTTCACCATCCTATTCCTCCAATAGTACTGTGTCTATGGTGGCTTCTGGGGCATCTGTCTGGAGTATGAAAGGGCTCTCAAAGTTGGGGGTTCACTGAACAGAATCTTCTAAATGTCCTGGAAGACTTTCTGGCATTCGGCAATCCACTGCACTTTCTAGGGGTCCAAGTCTTTCTTAGCTAGGTCAGATGTGCTGCCCACTCTGTGAATATAGGCACAAACTTTCTGTAATAGCTGGCTACATCCAAAACGAACCAGAGTTGTTTTTTGGTCTCAGGGGTCGGGCAGTCCCTCAAAGCTTGCATTTTCTCAACTAAAACTTTGGTAATCTTGTCCTCCCCCCCACCTCCATATATCCCAGGTACCATGTCTTCCTTTTCCTGACAGCACACTTGGCGGGGTTTGCTGTTAGCCCAGTGGCCTTTAAGCAACATAGTACCACCGTCACCTTGTGTATTGTGTCTCCCAGTCCCAACTGATGATCACTGAGTTGTCTAAATAAGTGTTCACATAATCATTATGTTGCTGCAGAATCTTGTCCATTAGTTGTTGGAAGGTGGCCACCGCAGCATGTAAATTGAAGGGCTTGGCTCTGAACTTGAAGAGTCTCCACAGTGAGGAAAAAGTTATCTTTTTCCACAATGCTCTCATCAGGGGGATCTGCAAGTAACTCTTGGTCTGACCTAAAGGTGTTATATACTGAGTCTGTCCTAGATGCACTAGGAGGTCATCTACTCAACGCATTGAGCAGGCATCAAACTTTGAGATTTTGTTCACCCTGTGAATGTCTACACAAAATCTGACTCAACCATTGGGTTTTGGAACCAGCATTATCGGATTGCACCATGTGCTTTGAGACTTCAGAATGACCCTCAGCTTTCGCATCTTCTAACTCCTCCTTGACTATTATTTGTATCTTTTTTGTTATGAGCTGTATGGCCTTTCTCATCATCTTCCTTGACTCAGTCTCGATGTGGTGGAACAACATGGCCATTTGACCAAGCACTTCCAAGAAGACATCCGTGAACTCATGTACCAAGAGACTGGCCCATCTCTTCTGTCTCATGGTCAAGTGCTCCCACAACTGTACCTTCAAGTCAGCACCTGACACTTTTATCTGTGTCAAGGATATGGAGCTATTAGAAGTCCCTCTCTAGATTTCCATGATTTTAACAAGTTAATATCGTAGATCTGGTTTTCCTTCTTCCAATCTGGCTGGCAGACTTTGTAGTTCACCAGTCCAACCCCGCAAATGATGTCATAGAGGCCCTGTCATTTGGCCATCAGTTTTGACTCAGAGCTGGTAATAACACCTAGATGCAATCATCAGTCCCTGTTCCCTTTATTGTAGTTCTGCTCCTGGGACGCCTAGCACTTTTGTACATTTTTGCTTAGTGAATTTGTGCAAATTGTCCAGGCAGTCCCTAAACTGCAGAACATACTACATACACCACATTAGGGGTTGGATTGACCTGTTCCTTCCAGCCTTCCTTCAACAGGCTGAGTATCCCTCATGTCTGTCATCTGTAGAGTGCTAAAGGTGAGAAGCCTGTCAAAGCTTGCAGGACTTCCTGTATTGTGAATGGGAGGTGGGGGGAGGACAGCCTCTCAACACTGGAGGTCAGTCCTGATGAAGCTCATGAGCATCCCCTTCAGAGTCTGGTTGAAATACTCCCCAAGGCCATCTGTCTTTGGGTGGTATATGGAGTTGTGCAGGTTCTTGATTCACAATAGACCGCATACCTCCTTCATTAGCTTGCAGGTGAAAATTGTACTTTTGTCCTTCAAGATCAACTTGTTTAGTCCCACTGTTGCAGAGATTTTCAATAATTCTGTCACTATCACTAGGGCCATGGTGGTCCACAGGGGAACTGCCGCAAGGTAGCATGTGTTATAGTCAACTACAACAAGCATATAATGGTAGCCAGCGGAGCTCTTTTCTATGTGTCCTATAATCTCCACCCCATCCACTCGAATGGGACTTCTACCAGTGGAAGGGGAACCGGGGGGCTGGTCGCACCTCTTTAGGGGCTACCAATTGGCAGTCTGATCAGAAAGCACAATAATCTTTTACTTCTTTGTGAATGCCTGTCTGAAAGAAGCAGGGTAACAGAAAGGCCAGGGTTTTCTCCTGGTGCAGGTAGCCTTCCATTGGCACCTAATGGGCCAACATGAGTGTTTCCCATCAGAATGTATGGTGTACGAGAATTTGGGTATATTGTTCTCTGTGTAGGGTTCCTTGTGCTGGGTGATAGAGCAGGTCTGCCCGCAACTCAAACCGCAGCAGGTGGGTAGCTAGCCCAGGACTGATCATTTCCTCATCTATTTGGGTCTATACTGTGGAAGTAGAGAAAGAACTGACAGGGGTTTGAAGAGGATTTAATATTCAAACAGTCCCCTTGTTTGAGCAAGAGTCAACCCCTAGTCTCCTTACGTACTTCTCATCTCTCATGTCCGGTGCCGCATTTCTCATGTCTGGTACACTGGGACTTAGTCTGGGATAGGAAGAGATTGTGTAGGGTCTGTTCGACTCCTCTAGTGGCCTCCATTTTGGCCCTTCAAAAGGGTCTACAGCAGTGTCGTAAAGTGGGGTCAGGCCAGCTCTAACAGAACTGGATGCAGCAATTTATGTGCTAGATCTACTGAGAGGTGGCCTGTTTGTCCACCTGCTGTCAGCCAAACCTTCACACATAAATAGCCCTTCACATCCCCATGGAGGCACGTCAGGGACACGGTGCTTTACAAATGAACCTCTGCCTCCCTCAGCAGGTCTTTGCTCACTAGGGTCTGCTTACAGCCCAAGCCCTCCACGGCTGGCTCCTCCAGGTCATTGATGTGCATCATGGGGGGGGGGGTCAATTTTGGGTTGTCTGGCATTTGATTGAGTCTGGGAAAAGTCAAGCCGGCCCCATTAATTATACTCCATGGTCTGACAATCCCTTCTGATATTTTCTTCTTGCCCACATAGGAAACAGATCACCCTCGCCGGTGGGCTCCGTAATGACAGAATAGCCGGAGTTTCGGTCTTCCATGATCTCCGTCTTGGCCTTCAAAGAACAGGGTGGGGAGTAAGTGTGGGGACTTATCCTTTGGGGGCGAGCCTGCCATCCACACTGTGGTTTCAGAATGACCATTCCCCCTCTCACCTGCTCTAATTGAATTAGGGGAGGCAAGCGCTGCCCTCCCAGGCAAGGCCGGTGGGGCGTCAGCCTGAAATAGTTCTCTGCTAGTCTCACTGCTTCTCCTAGCGCCTCTGGACGGTGTCTCTGTACCCATTCACACATGGCATGGGGAGGGCCCAGAGGAAATACTGGAGAATGACCAGGTCAGGTACTTGTCTGCTTGTCCTGGTCTCAGGCCTCAACCACTTGCAGCTGATGTCCTTGAGCCTCTGCAGCAGGGTCTGAGGCCATATAGATGGGCTGAATCATTGTTCTCTGAAACAGCGGCAGTAAGTCTCTGGTTAATTGCAGTCTATAGAATATGGCTGCTGTCAAGGCTGCTTCCCCACTCTGAACTTTAGGGTACAAATGTGGGGGCCTGCATGAAAACTTCTAAGCTTAACTACCAGCTTAGATCTGGTCCGCTGCCACCACTCCCAAAGTGCTAATTCCCTTCCCTGGGTAGCCTTGAGAGACTCTTCACCAATTCCCTGGTGAATACAGATCCAACCCCCTTGGATCTAAAAACAAGGAAAAATCAATCAGGTTCTTAAAAAGAAGGCTTTTAATTAAAGAAAAAGGTAAAAATCATCTCTGTAAAATCAGGATGGAAAATAACTTTACAGGGTAATCAGACTTAAAGAGTCCAGAGGAATCCCCTCTAGCCTT